GGGACTCGCAGGAATCTTCTCCAGCACCATAGTCCAAAGGCTTCAATTCTTTGGTGCTCAGACTTTCTTATGATCCAACTTTCACAGCCATTCATTACAATTAGGAAAACCATAGCCGTGACTGTACACACTTTTGTTGGCAGGGTGATGTCTCTGCTTTTTAGTATGCTGTCTAGATTTGCCATAGTTTTCCTCCCCAGGAGCAAGCGTCTTTAAGCGATATTAATAAATATCCTTTTAAAACGTTCTAGTCTATTTGGCATGCCCAATAGGATCATGTCTGACTCTTAACTAAAACAATTTGCTAAACTGTATGTTCAGCAGGACCTCTCAATAAGCAAAAAAATGTACAAAAGTGCAATGCATTTTCCTGACTACGATATATATTTTAATTGATTGGAATAATTAGTCCTTTTCTTAGATATTTTGTAAACATGGCTATAAAGGTGAATTTTTGTATATGCATCATAAACTCATAACAATGTATACAATGATTCTATCACACTAACTGAATTTTCAATAACCAGTTTAATATTTTATTACTGTCCTACAGGTTTGGGCGTTTTCCAGCGGTGGACCAATCTTTTCATCACCCTGTGTTTCACCTTTTTCCAGAGATATATTCTTTGGGTCCCATGACTGCTTTATTTATTGCTGCAACAGGGAAGGAAATGTATTATGGAAGTTTGAAACTACATCCAGAGTTTATGCAACTCCATTTGTTTCCCGCAGTCCTAAGTTGGACAGTAAAACATTTCTGGTGGCGACCTCCACCGATGGCAGAATATGGATCCTGAATGCTGAAACGGGTGTGGCAGAAGGTAGAGGAGAACTTCCAGGAGAGGTCTTCTCTTCTCCTGTAGCCTGGGGATCGACAATTGTTGTAGGATGTAGAAACAACTACCTTTATTGTTTAGATCTGTGTTTATCTAAAGCTAATAAAATTCTGAAATGATGAGCTTTTTGGAGCTTTTAATTTTCTACTTGAGAGCTAAATGTTTGCCTTGGATACGAGGTGGCACAGTGGTTAGAGTGCAGTACTGCAGGCTACTTCAGCTGACTGCTAGCTGCAGTTCGGCAGTTCAAATCTCACCGGCTCAAGGTTG